GTCACCACGTCACCTTGAGGTCACCACGTCATAGTACTAGAGATCACCACGTCATAGTACTAGAGGTCACCACGTCATAGTACTAGAGGTCACCACGTCATAGTACTAGAGATCACCACGTCATACTTCTTGAGGTCACCACGTCACATTTCTAGAGGTCACCCGTCATAGTACTAGAGGTCACCACGTCATAGTACTGAGATCACCACGTCATAGTACTAGAGATCACCACGTCATCTGCGGGGTCACCACGTCATAGTACTAGGAGGTCACCGTCACACTTCTAGAGGTCACCACGTCATTACTAGGGTCACCCGTCATACTTCTTGAGGTCACCAAGTCACACATGAGGTCACCACATCACACTTCTCGAGGTCACCACGTCACACTTCTAGGGGTCACACGTCACACTTCTAGAGGTCACCACGTCACTTCTTGGGGAAACGTAAGTCACCACGTCATAGGTCAGGGAAACTAAGGCCACCTCCCCCCCTTGCTGGTGAGAGACTGAGGGAGGTCAACACCACAATGGTTATAACAACATCAACCTTGGTACACTTTTGGTGAAGAAATGACTGTGAAAAAGGGGGGGAGGAGGGGGGAGGAGGGGGAGGGAAGGGGCGAAGAGGTATAGGGAAGGAGGTGCAAGTGGAAGAGGGGAGAGAAGGAGAGGATAGAAGTGAGGAAGTATATCGAGAGGTACAAGTAGGAGAGAGAGAAGGAGGTCAGGGAGGGAGGGAGGGAGGTACAAGTTGGATAGAAGGAAGGAGGGAAGGAGATAGAGACAGGAGGGCAAGAGGGAGGGAAAGAGAGAAGGGGAGGGAAGGAGGGAGGGAGCCAGATGGTGTACTGGTAGAGGGACGCTTCACCGCAATTTCGGTCTTCAAGTCGTTTGTAGCGTGACCTCAAACTGCTACCAGAGGAGGAGGAGGAGGAGGAGGGCTGCACGGAACAACTCAAGTGAAAATAAAGGACACACACACACACACACACACACACACAGACACACACACACACACACACACACACACACACACAGCTCATTATTAACGTCACATCACAAGAACCCTGGAAGTGCAAAATTAAGAAATATATAATATATAATTCATAAACTGAAACAGCTAAAGCAGAACTAAAGACAACTGACACGAGATGAACTGCCTCTCTCCCCCGAGTATACGAAGTAATGAGTTAGGTGTACTCATACATATAAGGTGGATGATGGTAACGGCAGTCGATCACACACCTTAAGTACCGTTGTCTAAATCTGACACCTTATGCAAGTTGAATGACATTGATAGTCAGTCTTTGATAATGATTTTGAAACAGTTTATTTAGCCAGAAGAACACAGATACAGAGTGAATAATAATAACAATATTAACATGGCTGAGCCAGTTGAGAACCTGAGCTCTCTTTGAGGCACCTGATATATACTGTACATTTATCTCAAGGAAGTATTATGAAACATTTAGTATCATCTGGAATAGTACAATAGCATGGTGGTAATAAGTAAATCTCATAATGTTACCACGGTTATCACTTCAATATTTATTTATTTTACATTTATATTATAAGTATATAATGTACACACTAGTAGAGTTGATGTACATAATATGATAAGGGAGGGAAGCAGTACAACACGGGTGGAACAAGAGGACAGAGCCGTCAGTATTATGTTTAGTTGGCAAAATATTTATTACAATGGTAATTTCTATCTATCTATATGTAATTTCTGATAAAACGGTTTTAGTGAATTTTAATAAAGGCAGGTATATAAAGTAGGTATTACAAAATATTAATATGAGAGAGAGAGAGAGAGAAAAACAGAATGCATTGAGGAAGTAGGGAAGAGAAAGAAGAAGAAGAAGAAAGAAGAAGAAAGAAAGAAGAAGTAGAAGAAGGAGGAGGAGGAGGAGGCGGAAGAGGAGAGAAGAAGAAGAAGAAGAAGAAGAAGAAGAAGAAGAAGAAGAAGAAGAAGAAGAAGAAGAAAGGTATGCAACAGTAGAAAGGTGGGAAGAGAGATTATCATAGTAGAACATAAGGAAGGAAGAGGTAAGATGAAGACCATGAGAAGAGGAGGGGAGGGGCTTAAACTGCGGTCACTTGCGGGTTGACGATGGAACCATGAGAGACGAGACGGTCAATGGCCCCCAGGCAAGGAGGAAGAGACATACATATATATCTGAGAGTGGTGAATAACAATACCTATCGTAAACTCACAGTTGATTGCATTCTTCACCTATTGAGACTCAGTACACCTGGTGCATTAATTAACACACACACACACACACACAGGTGCTTGTTCTAACCCCAGCTCGGCTCCTCCCTGTGACCGTCCACCAGTCTGTCACGCACTGCTGTCTACACTTTTCTTTCACCTTCCCCCACCACCTGTTCCTCCACCCATCCCCCCACCTGTTACCTCCACCCATCACCCCCACCTGTTACCTCCACCCCACCCCCTGTTACCTCCACCCCCACCCACCTGTTACTTCTACCCCCACCCCACCTGTTACCTCCACCATCACCCCCCACCTGTTACCTCCACCCCTTCACCACCCCAGAATCTCCTCCATCCTCAGTAACCCATCATCTTCCCTCCCCTCCAACCTCCCTCCCTCCCTAACACCCCCCACCCTTTAAACAAGTGTATGACAAATGAACTCTAAGCTCCGTCAGTGGACTTGCACTAGGTACTGACTGACTGCCTGCCCTTTCCTTCCTTCCTTCCCTCACTCTCTCTCAAGTGATATGGTAGCTGCGGTGTGGCCTAAAACAGCATGAGACAGGGAGACAGACAAAGACAGGAGACAGAGGGGTATCGTGGTGAATGTAAGCATAACAGAGAGATGGTTATATACCCTCTGCATACATAAGAACATAAGAAAATAAGGAGTCTGCAATAGGCCGGTTGGCCTGTGCATGGCAGCTCCTGTCGAGGGATACCTACTCTCTATCATCCATGAATCTATCCAGCTTCCTTTGAACTTTCCAGCGTTCCAGCACTTACTACAAAGTTGCTAAGCTTTCACTCGTCCACCACCCTATTTGTAAACCAATTCCTTCTATCTCCTCCTAAACCAAAACTTATCCAACTTAAATCCGTTGTTCCGAGTCCTATCCTGCTCCGATATTATAAGAACTTTATCTATATCACCTTTGATGATTCCTTTCACCCATAAATACTTCTATCATATCTCCCCGCACTCTTCGTCTTTCTAGGAATGCAAGTTAAGTTTCTTTAACCTATCCTGATATGGAAGGTTTCTAAGTCCCGGAATCATTTTCGTCATTCTTCGCTGCACCGACTCCAGTGAATTTATATCCATTCTATAATAAGGGCACCAGACTGAACCGCATAATCGAGGTGCGGCCTGACTAGTACCAAGATATAGTTGCAATAAGACCTCTGCACTCTTATTACTTACACTTCTAGATATAAAACCCAATACTCTGTTTGCCTTATTTCGAACATTAACGCACTGTTTTCTGGCCGTAGGTCCGGGCCTAAAGTACCCCAGGGTCTCTTTCACAAGTCGACTTCTCTGGGTTGATGTTGTTAAGGCTGTATACATTGACAGTATTTGTTCTTCCAATATTAAGTACGCTGCACTTGCTGGTGTTGAATTTTATTTGCCATTTTTCAGACCACCCCTGCAGTTTATTTAGATCCTCCTGTAATGCATTTGCAACCTGCCCTGAATTAATCTGCCGCCCTATTTGGTGTCATCCGCAAACTTGCTTATGTCACTACTGATCCCAGTATCTAGATCGTTTATGTAGATTATGAACAAGAGTGGGCCTAGTACTGACCCCTGTCGACAACCTCCTTCACCCTATCCACATTAACACCACCTAAGTGTGACCATCGCATGTAAGTGGCCTGTCATTATAGAGACCGTCACTAAGAAATACCTCCCACCAATTATCCTGCCTCTTGTCACTCCATGCACCTCTACCACCATCACCACAATTATCATCATCTACTATCAGCTGTTAGTGTTCACCCATATAGAAATCACCGCCCCGCCGTCCCTAATTTATATCCAGTCTTCCGTCAACACCCTACTTGTCACCCCATAGTTCATAACTGTATCTACTCTAACCGTAAACGGGATATAATAACGCTCACACACACACACATACACACACACATACACACACACACACACACACACACACACACACACACACACACACACCATATCAACATCAACACCTGAAGAAGCATTCCTTGATATGTGTTTACCCTGAATCTGAGGACTCCTGTTACCTGAGGAAGGGGGGGGGAAGGGGTGAGAGGGAGAAGGTGAGAAGGGATTCCATGCAATTCTTACAGTTAGGTCTCCTTGTCCGGTTTGCACCCCTCCTTCCCTCTCCCTTCCCCCCTCCTTAAACTTGACCACGCCCCTCCAAGTACCAACATCAAGGTCTCCCATCACCACCCCCTCTCTCACCACCCATCACCACCCTTCTCACCCACCACCCATCACCTTCTTTCCCCTTCCTTCTTTATCATTCCATTCCCCCTCCACTAATATATCCAGGTATCCCAACTTCCACCACCACCCCTTCCCATTTTTCCCATACCTCTACCCATTACCCTCTTACCTCCCCATTAACTGAGAGGAACCACACAATCCATTAAAATTTCCCCCATTTCCTCCTTTTTCTAGGACACACACACACACACACACACACACACGAGACCATCACAGGTGTGTCATAGACCGCATATGTCTGGCCTTGAAACGTGTATATCAACTCTTTAAACTTGCCTGAGCAACATATGAGCACACGAAACCACATAATCAGACAACTATGAAACACCTGTGGAACACTTGTCACACACCTGTAAACACCCATTAAATACGTATCAGACACATGTAAATATCCATGAAACACCTGTGGAACACCTGTGAAACACATATGCAACACCTCAAGAACACCTACAGCACATGTAGACAGACAGCTGTTAAACACCTACAGGAACACTCACTAGGGTCAGAGACGATGAAACAGGTGTATGTGAGACCTCTTAAACACCCACGCACCTGTAAGTAAACACAAGGTAAACATGAGTGTTAGGTGTTAACATCTGTGTTTATATTAACATAGTATAAATCCGTTAAGTAAGCATAAGAATTACCTTCATATAAACATTGGCATAAACTCTAGCATTGACCCGGATATAGGTCAGGTCAGGTCAGGTCAGGTTAGGTCTAGATATCAACACGTGTAGGGGTAAGAGGGTGAAGGGGAGGTAGGAAAAAAGGAGAGGAGAGAGGGAAGGGGGGAGAGGGAAGGAGTGGTGAGAGGGAAGGAGAGGGGAGAGGGAAGGGGAGGTGAGAGGGAAGGAGAGGTGAGAGGGAAGGAGAGGTGAGGGGAAGGAGAGGTGAGAGGGAAGGGGGAGAGGTGAGAGGGGAAGGGGGTGAGGGAGGAAGGGGAGGTGAGGAGAGGGAAGGGGAGGTGAGAGGGAAGGGGAGGTGAGAGGGAAGGGGACGTGAGAGGAAGGAGAGATGAGGAAGGAGAGGTGAGAGGGAAGGAGAGGTGAGAGGAAGGGAGAGGTGAGAGGAAGGAGGTGAGGAGGGAAGGGGGAGGTGAGAGGGAAGGAGAGGGTGAGGAGGGGGAAGGAGAGGGTGGGAGGGGAAGGAGAGGTGAGAGGGAAGGGTGGTGGGGAGGGAAGGAGAGTTGAGAGGGAAGGAGAGGGTGGGGGGAAGGAGGGTGAGGAGGGAAGGAGAGGTGAGGAGGGGAAGGAGAGGTGAGAGGGGAAGGGGGGGTGGGGAGAGGGAAGGAGGGTGAGGAGGGGGAAGGGGGAGGTGAGGGGGAAGGGGGAGGAGGGGAAGGGGGAGGGTGAGGAGGGGGAAGGGGACGTGAGAGGGAAGGAGAGATGAGGAGAAAGAGGAGGGTGAGAGGGAAGGGGAGGTGTGAGGAGAGGGAAGGAGGTGAGAGGGAAGGAGAGGTGAGGAGGAAGGGAGGGGGGAGAGGGAAGGAGGTGAGGAGGGGAAGGAGAGGGTGAGAGGGAAGGGGAGGTGAGAGGGAAGGAGAGGAGAGGAAGGAGAGGGAGGGGAAGGAGAGGGGAGAGGGAAGGAGAGGTGAGAGGGAAGGAGAGGGGAGAGGGAAGGAGAGGTGAGAGGGAAGGGTAGGTGAGAGGGAAGGAGAGGTGAGAGGGAAGGGGAGATGAGAGGGAAGGAGAGGGGAGAGGGAAGGAGAGGTAGGTGGAAGGTACCAGTCAGACGTACCCAAGTACCAGTAGTTGTAAGTCATGCAATACCTCCACCCAACCAGGTACCAACAACAGTCTCTTTCTTCATGACCAATACCACTAAATACTTCAACTCCTCGTGACCATGGATCAATATTATCAGTAGTAGTAGTAGTAGTAGTAGTAGTAGTAGTAGTATTTAATTTTAAGGTAATAAAATGGCGGCGAAGATGTGGCTATTGGGGGAGGCTGGAGGCCACGTAAAAAAAAAAAGTAGTCGTAGGAGGAGGAAGAATTTGTAGAAGTAGTAGTGAAAGTAGTAGCAGGAGTAGTAGTAACTGTAGTAGAAAAAAGTAGTAGTAGTAGGCACAGCAGCAGGGAGGCAGCAGACAAACACACTATTGACCTGCGACCTTCACGTTGGGCGTGACCGGTTACTGCGTCGCGCAAAAGGTCACCCCCGGAAAGGTCACACTAAGGTCACGGTTCCATCTGGAGCGGCTGGGTCGGGGGAGGCGGGGGAGGGGGGTGTAGTGGGTGTTTGGTGGTGGGAGGGGGGGAGGAGACAGAATGGCCGTGCTGGGTTATATAAAAAAAATAATGTCGCGGTTTATATAACATTGATAATACGGGTTATATAATTGATGGTGCAGACATGAATGTATCTAAGATGAATGTATGTATCACTTACTGTACACACACACACACACACAGGCCGTTTCTACTAATGTTTACTCTTTGCAACATCGTCTTCTCTTGAACCTGCACCGTCGTCATGGCAACCGCGACGCCATCATAATGAACAAGAACCAAACATGACGACATCAACCATAGGCGATAATTAATCCACTGTATTTAACAGAGAGAATTACTCAAGTCTCCAAGATGCACAGCGTTACATCTCCTTCTAACAAGTCAATTAAAGTCTTCAATAACGACTCATTCTAACAAGTCAATTAAAGTCTTCAATAACGACTCATTCTAACAAGTCAATTAAAGTCTCCAATAACGACTCATTCTAACAAGTCAATTAAAGTCTTCAATAACGACTCATTCTAACAAGTCAATTAAAGTCTTCAATAACGACTCATTCTAACAAGTCAATTAAAGTCTTCAATAATGAATTACATTCTATTGTCACTATGTTCCAACAACGACTCATTCTAATAAGTCAATTAAAGCTCCCAATAACGACTCATTCTAATGTCAATTTAAAGTCTTCACAACACCATTCTAACAACAAGTCAATTAAAGTCTTGTCACCATTCATTCAAGTCACCAGCTCCAATAAGACTCATTCCAGCAAGTCAATTAAAGTCTCCAACAATTCCATTCTAACAAGTCAAATAAAGCCTCTACAAATGACTCATTCTAATGTCAATTAAAGTCTTCAATAACGACTCATTCTAACAAGTCAATTAAAGTCTTCAATAACGACTCATTCTAACAAGTCAATTAAAGTCTCCAATAACGACTCATTCTAACAAGTCAATTAAAGTCTTCAATAACGACTCATTCTAACAAGTCAATTAAAGTCTTCAATAACGACTCATTCTAACAAGTCAATTAAAGTCTTCAATAACGACTCATTCTAACAAGTCAATTAAAGTCTCCAATAACGACTCATTCTAACAAGTCAATTAAAGTCTTCAATAACGACTCATTCTAACAAGTCAATTAAAGTCTCCAATAACGACTCATTCTAACAAGTCAATTAAAGTCTTCAAGCTATTGTTTAAGACAACTCGAGTCTATTAATTAGTAAGATGAATTACCCAAACAATAAGAATGAACAGGTACACACACACACACACACACACACACACAAGGTCAATTACGATGCCTACCGAGAACACACACAAACACTCATGCAAACACACTTAAAAGACTCCAGTAACGGTGTGTGTGTGTGTGTGTGTGTGTGTGTGTGTGTGTGTGTGTGTGTGTGTGTGTGTGTGTGTGTGTGTGTGTGTGTGTGAGAGAGAGAGATCGTATAAAATAGGCTTTCACAGGTAAATGGAACAGGTGAATTGAGGTAAGGGAAGTGATCCTTTGTAGTCAATGAGGAGGAAGAAGAAGAAGAAGAAGAAGAAGAAGAAGAAGAAGAAGAGGAAAGAAGAAGAAGAAGAAGAAGAAGAAGAAGAAGAAGAAGAAGAAGAAGAAGAAGAAGAAGAGCCAGGAAGAACTCACAGGAGACACAGTACTAAAAATACTCAACGTCTTCCCGCCTCTTGAGATAATGGTCCTCCACACACACACACACACACATTTCGCCTGCGCCGGCAATCAACTGTGTCTGGCGTTACCCTCCTTGTAATTCCACCATCTTGGCACCTACGCCAGACGAAAGATCGCTCGCCTTCTACCAACAGTGGCACTTTTTGTCAAATGCCGAAAATAACTATAATTCCATTAGTTGTGTCAGCAGCTCTGTATGTGTTTTTTCTCAACTAACTCACACACTAAATGACGGAGATAGTGTCCTTAATCGTTTATTCACTGACGGAGAAAAACATTAATTTTCTAAGTAACATAGAAACTGAATAACTCAAACTTATTCTTCACTAATGACAAAGATGTTTACATTTATTTGTGTACAGTGAAGGAATGGCACTGTAAGTCTGGCGTGGCACTGTTAACAGTGCCATCACCCAGGGTCTCTCTAGCCAGTGAGGGTCCTATAGATTACAATTTATCACGCGAAGTAACTCAAGCATAATTTACTATCATAAGACCTTGTATTGCTAGAACACGCACCATTTAGGGACCTGACTTATGACACTACAACAAGCACCATTTAGGGACCTCACTTATGACACTACAACAAGCACCATTTAGGGACCTCACTTATGACACTACAACAAGCACCATTTAGGGACCTGACTATGACACTACAACAAGCACCATTTAGGGACCTGACTTATGACACTACAACAAGCATCATTTAGGGACCTGACTTATGACACTACAACAAGCACCATTTAGGGACCTCACTTATGACACTACAACAAGCACCATTTAGGGACCTGACCTATGACACTACAACAAGCACCATTTAGGGACCTGACTTATGACACTACAACAAGCACCATTTAGGGACCTCACTTATGACACTACAACAAGCACCATTTAGGGACCTCACTTATGACACTACAACAAGCACCATTTAGGGACCTCACTTAAGACACTACAACAAGCACCATTTAGGGACCTCACTTATGACACTACAACAAGCACCATTTAGGGACCTCACTTAAGACACTACAACACGCACCATTTAGGGACCTCACTTATGACACTACAACAAACACCATTTAGGGACCTGACTTAAGACACTACAACAAAGGACTAACACACATGGTCCCTCGCCCCTGAACAGCTTCCTCTCTGTTCCGCTCTGGGTAACTGGAGGAGCAAACCAGGAACCCAGAGTCGACCTTCTGTGCTTGAAGAACGAGCGAAGCCTTGATACAGCGGCGACTACCAGGTGTGAAACCATCAGGTGCCGGACAGGTGTGCGTGACCGACCCGCTCCCCGTCCGGACTCAAAATTCGCTCTTGGTAAACTCGATCTTGTTTAACGCGACGTGACTGTGTGCCGGGAAGGGAGTAGTATGGTGAGAGATTCCTGCCGCTGTGTATTCTACTTCACCTGCTATAGATACATTCTCTCCCCCCCCCCTCCCCCCGGGCGTGGGCTTCACCGTGCTTGAGGATGCCTGATGGAGGCGGTGCTGGGCTCCGCCGTGGTCTGCAGGAGTCGTGGAGGACACTCAACTCCTTCCACAGGTATTTTGACGCTCATCTAGTCTGTAATACTTGGTGATTATCTCCCCT